CATGATCAATTTAAGAACTTCAAATGAGATGACTTTTGACCTCATTTTTGTATGAGGTCACTAGGGACCTACCCAGACTCCAGATCAATCCTGACCCTACATCAATCTAGAATCCATATCCTAGAATCTACTCTAGTCCTTAAGATTCTTCCAGATCAATCTAAAACCTAGGATTCTCCTAGATCTAGACCTAATAGATCCTAGGATCCTTCTAGAATCTAGACCTTAGGATCTATTCTAGGTCCTAGAATTCTGCCAAACTCCAGGCCTTAGGATCCATCTAGGTCCTAAGATTCTTCTAGACTCCAGACCCTAGGATCTACTCTAGACCTTAGGACTTTTCTAGACTTCAGATCTTAAGATCTATTCTAGACCTTAAGATTCTCCTAGATCCAGACCCTATGATCTTCTCAGGCCTTAGGAGCTGCCTAGACCTTAGATCAATCCAGACCTTGAAATTAATTTAGATCTCAAACCAATCCAGACTTCAAATCAATCTTGATCTCAAGCCAATCCAGATCTCAATTTAATTCAAGCCTCAATCAAAATTCAGACTTCAATCCAGTTCAGAATCCAAACTCCAGTTCAAATCTTGATCCTGCCTTTGATCAAGCTTCAACCCTATCGTGTCATTTATAATCATCCAAATGATAATAAATGATTTGGATAATTCAAACTTAAGCAATCAAATCCAGAATCCAACTCAAACTCAAAAATCCAGATTCAAATCCTAAGTCTTAAGGCCCTGCCCTAAAGGTTCAATTAGCCATTTTGACTGAATTGACCTTCCCAAACTTTGAGACCACCTCCAACAGACTCAAAACATCAAACCAAACTGGTTGAGCCCAAATTCGAGTCCTGGTCAACCTGGTTGAACAAGTCAACCTAGGTTGACCTAAATACCCTTTAATGTTTAAATGGGTTATTTTAACCCATTTGACATTTTAAACCCCTTTCAAGCATTGAATCAATTCCAATCTATGGGCTCAACACATCTCAATCCCTGTTCAATCAAAGTTAACTCTAGTTGACCAAGTCAACATAATAAAATTTGGTCAATCTATTTGAATTCTTTGTTCAAACATTCAAACCTCAAATCCTAGTCATTAAACCTTCTATAATTCAACACTCCAGCACCCATGGCATCCTCCCATGCCACCTCACCTATTGTTGACCAGTTAACTAGTCAACATAGTTAACAAACTTCTTTAAAGGGGCTTAAATGGCCAAATGGCTTGACCCAATCTAGCCATTTCCCATCAAATCATTTCAGCAGGTGCAAAGCCCCTTCCCATGCCACCTCAGCTGCCATGTGGCATGGGAACCAGTCAAATGGTCAAATCAAGGTTTGGGAGTGGTCAAAGATGGTCAAAACCCATCTTTAGTTAATCCTCTCCATCCCTAAACCATTCCAGCCACCTTAATCAATTTCTGGAACCTTCTCAAGACTTTTCTTAGACCTTGGATGGAGATCCAATGACTCCCATCAATCCCACATGGCCACAAAGGGACAAAATGACCTTTACATGTTATTTGTCCTTGTGTCCTTTGATCCATCTGCTCCCACCTACCCCCTGGACACTTGGCAACATCCCAGAACCCCCCTCAAGTAATCTCAACCCTCCATTTGATCAGAAGGAGTTTGAATAGGGCAATACCCCATTTTGAACCCTCATTCTAACTAAAACCCTCTCTCTCCAGATTCAAGCCTCTCCACCCGATCTCCTTGCTCGTTTAAGATCCCCAGATCCTAATCCATACTTCCCAAGTTCAAACTCACCAGTCAAATCACGCCAGCGATCACTTCTCCGGCGAACTCAAGCCAAGTCTGTCCAAGGAAGATTCCATTCGATCCTGTAGTTAGAAGCTCGAGAGATCTACTACAAAATGGAGCGTGAAAAGTCCACAAATGCAACATGCCTTTAAACGGATTAATCCATCCATTGAATAAGGTATAATCTTAAACCCTAGGTAAATACACTTAGTTCAAATTAGCTTTTGGTAAAGCGCTTTTCAAGTTAAATAAAAGCTTCCCAATTGTATATGTTCACTAGGTTAATCTATGTTTTAAATTTCATTTAATTTGATCATCTGGTTTAAGAGAACGAGCAAAAAAATGAGTTCTAGGGCATTTTTACGGTCAGGCTCAGGCTTACGTTTTTATTGATCGTTGATCACCTGATCAACGGTCTGGATCGAGATATTCCGCGGTCTGTTCCAACCGTGTATCTGATTCGGTGTCTAGTTTTTCGTCCGACGGCATCTGGGCCCTCGATCCAAAGCTGTGGGATCGAAGTCCCGCCGTCCGATCTCTCCCCATGAGATCATATAGCGGGATTTGATCTGGGCCGTTCATTCCATCACGTGGGGAATCTGACGGCGGTTGGCGATTGCTGACTGGATTAAGTGATGCCGCGTGGACCCCACGCCGCCGCCGTCTGTGCTGGACGAACCAGGGATCGCCACGCGTCCCACTAACAGCCGCCAGATTTAATTAAATGGTTTCCATTTAATTAACAGAAAGCTTTAAAATTTTATAAAAAAATATTTATAACTCCAAAATTTAATTTTAAAATATCAAAATTCTCAGAATTTCAATACCTTTCAAATAAAATTAAAATTACTTTAAAATATTTAATATATTTAAAATAAATTTTAAAGTACTTAAAATTTGATATTTTAATTAGAAATTAATTAAAATAAATCAAGTTAATTTAAAATTTTCAAAATAATTTATTTTGAAATTATTCCATTTGATAAGGTTTGATACAAACTACAATCCTCTTATTAGAGCTATTACACTTATGCTTAATATCTCATAAGTTAAATCATTAAAATTCATCTAAAGGTTGTTAAACACAACAAAACAAAAATCATGCACAATTAAAATTGTCCGTATTGAAGAAATTGTAGTTAAAAAAAAAATTCTTTGAATGATGGATTAGGTATCTGGTGTTAGAATAATTAAAAATAATAATTATGAGAGACGTCACAATAATTATTTCAGTATGTATATTTAATTTTATAAACCATTAAGTGGCCAATATATTTGAATTATTGAAATTTAATTATTTATATTTAAATCATATTGGTTAAAAAGAGATAATTTGATCAATTTTTATTGACCGTTTGATCAAATAACTCCTATGAGCAGTTATTATACCTAATTCAAAGGAAATAACTATCAGTCTTCTCTCTCTCATTATAGGAGTTAGTTTGTTCCATAGAGCATTAACTCAAGAAAGAAAGAAAATAAAAGGGAAAAGGGAGAGAAACTGCAGTTTGGAATTCAATGAATTTAACATGAATCAAGGTATGTTTTCTTCCGATTAAAATCTTGTGAAAATCATATTGTTTAAGATCTTGTAGATTTAAAACTTCTGTAAATTCATATATTCGTTTTAATTTCTTTTACATAATTTATTATTCGAGTTTTTGCAAGAGTTAGAGAACTCATAATGTATGTTGCAAGTTATTGTAAAAGTTACATAACTCATAATGCATGTTGTAAGTTCTTGTAAGAATTCGAGAACTTAAATCTTACATCTGGGTGTAAAAGAAAATTTACAAGTATAGTATGAATCGACAACTAAAAGTTGAATATGCTAAAAGAAAATTTATAACTCTGGAGTGTTATTCTTGAGTACTATTATGATGCATGCTACTTGCCTATCTATGCTCTTTTTCAAGTTTTATATTTTTTTACTCATATACATCATATCTTGCAGTTAGGCTCCTGAACATACCATTTTCCTATTAGTTGAGAGTTGCTGCTATGAAGGTGATGGTCTGCAGGTTAAATTTTGTGCCACAAATTTGAATAATTTATGGAAAAATTTGAGTTAGAATTTTTTAGCGTTAAATTGGGCAAATCTTGTGGCAACTATTTCTACTAGTTTAGAAATATAAAAAAATAGTTTGAGGCATGTTTTTTTGTTAATTTTTTATATATTCTAAATTTTAATATTTTTATGCAAGTTGGATATGTGATTCCTTCAAGTGTGGTACAAGTACAACATCCTAATTTCATGGGATGCCATCCCCTTGTATCAGTGTGAGCCTTGGATGTCTTTAATATTTTTTTCTTTATATTAATTCTTTTAAATATCATATTATTGATTTGCTATTGTTCATGATTTATTCAAAATTAAAGGATCTGGGATTCTAATTGCGGAAAAAATCAATTACTAGTTGATTTTGTGAGGTTTAAATTTTTGTTCATTTCTTTATATTTATTCAATCATTGTATTATCATTTGATTTTTAATTACCGTATTTACTAGTTTACATGTAAAGAAAGGTAGTTTTTTTTTTCTTGCTTAATGCTTATTGATCTGTGAATCCTAAGTTCTCTCATGTGATTTACATATATTACATCATTTTAGTTGAATTGGAAAGCCCTAATACTAAATTATTCTACATTTGAACCAACAACAACAATAACTAGCCTTTATCCCACTACGTGGGGATGTCGGCTACAATCCTTTTTTTTTTCCTACTGCGTTCTGTTAAGAGTCAACTTTTTATTTAAATCTAATAAAAAATATCATTTCTCATATTTTCTAACAAATTCTTTTTAGGTCTACATCCACCTTTTTAACAAAAGTCAAATCTAATACATGTACTCTTCTAATTGGGTCATTGGAAGGCCAATGGTTTATGTGACCAAACAATCTAAGGCGTCTCCCTCTAATCATATCTGCCACTAGAGCTACTCCAACGTTTCACGTATATATTCATTTCGCATTCTGTCTCTAAGAGTGAAGCCACTCATCCACCTGAGCATCCTCATTTTTACATCACTTAACTTAATTTTATGCTTGTCTTTTAATGGCAAACACTCTATGCCACAAAGCATTGCAGGTCTCACCACCATCTTATAGATTTTTTCCCTTAAGTTTGAGGGATACTTTTCTGTCACACAACAAGCCCAATCTATTCCTCCAATTCAACCATCCTCGAAGTGTGATCATAAACTCTTTTTGTTCTTGATTTTCTTGCTGCTCTAGGAAAGACCAAATGTGAGCAATTATATTTGATCCAGGATTTATTTGGGGCAACTATCTGCTAACATTGCTTTTAAAAATGCAACCATTCTAGGATTTGGCTAACAACTTCTCAATAGTGTTTCAGAAAAGTTATCTATCTAGAACAACTTTTTGTAAACAAGCTCGTCATCCTCTGTTCTAGCATTGCAACTGAATTCTGCACCTTAAACCAAAATTGTATATTTTATCATTTATATTAAAAAAAGACATGATAATTTCAAATACTAGCTTCTCATATAGCAGTTTCACAATTAGCTTTATAGACAGCTATAACCACCCCATACAGACCCTTAATCGAACTCACATTCATTATCAAATTCATAATTCCAACATAAAGCAGTTTCACAATGGCATAACCATGCACTTTGATCAAGACAAGAGGTATACCAATCATCAATCAACCATTACTCTTGCAAACACATTAAAAAGGGCTTAGTGTTCTCTACGCCCTTCGTGTCAAGCACGACAGCTGGTATTCTCAAGTTACACATAAGCAGAAATGATAAAAGCCCTTCGTATAGTTATTAAAGCTAAGGTCTCATGCACTTGAGCATTAGATCGGCATCTCCACCAACCTTCAATTTTAAAATTATATCTTTTGCAATCTCCTAATCTCCTCACAATTTCCTAGCATTCCAAAACACACATTTTTTAGAGAAAAAGAGTAACGAACCTGTAATGGCCCGAACGATCTCCGCTCTAGCCAGCACAAAAACGAGCGCCCGTCCACAGCTCCTTCCCCACTAACTGCTCGCTTCTCCCTATCCATTCTCCTTCTTCTCCACCTACTGCATACAAAAACACCAAAATAATCAATAAAATGAAAATAAAAGATCAAGATTTTTATACTTCACAACAGAAACAAGCGGAAAACCTTGGGGCAAACCCCCTTCGCGCGATATGAGATCAATCAGCGCCGCTCTGCATCTCGATACTCCAACGCGTACGTTGAAGCTAATAGACAAACCTGCACAGACTGTGAAGCCGTCTGATAGCAGAGGGAATCTTTGGGACCGGAGCTCCAACTCTAAATTGGCGGAACAGGAGATATCATCTAGCGTCTGGAACTGAACGCCAAGTAAATGGGGCAGGGCGGCGGGAAATTGGCACGGCAGCTGTAAGAACCCTTCCTTCGGCCCTTCATCGACAATATTACATTTTAACATTTAAGCTTAATAATAGAATTTTCACTGAATAATTATAGCAAAAGACCATTATTCATACTGCTAGAATATATGTGGCAGCAAAGTAAGAAATTTTTTTTTATTTTAATCATTGAAGGAATATTCAACATATAAATAGAGAACTCAAAATTTTATGTGGAAAATTCAGAATAAGGGAAAAACCACACGTTCATACTAGTTGAATTGCTTCAACTTTTATTTGAATATGTTCAATGATTGATCAATCTCAAAACTCGAGAATAATGAAATTACAATAGTTTGGAGAGTTGGATGGAGGTCCGACGTTAATTGGTATCCGGGCGAAACTTTGACATCAATCAGAAGTCTTGCAAAAGTCGGTAGCCGGGCGAAAGTCTTGCGTCGACCAGCTACCGGACAAAAATCTTGCATTGATCAGTGGCCGAGCGAAAGTCTGGCAACGGTAGTTGGTCAAGTAGAAGTACGGCGATGGTTGATGGCCGGCAAAAGTCCAACGACAGTAACCAAGAAGAAATCCGACGACAACCATTGATCCGGCGGTGGTTGAAGAGGAGCTTAGTGGTAAGATAAATCTTAGATTTCTCTTTCTTCATCCTCTTCTCTCCCTTGTGAAAAAATGTTCGTGAGAGGTGGGGGAGGGTCTATTTATAGTTTTTTTGGGTGTAACATTACTAGTAAATTGAGAGAAGATCAAGGGCATATTGAGAGTATTTTTTATGAATGGTTGATATTGATTCCATTGACCATAGACTGTTTATCGTGCATTTGAATGTCTTAATGGTGTCATAATTCAATGATATTGGGCTCATTAGATTTGTCTTGTCGAGCCGCTCGATTCTACGCTAAGCATGTTATACTTGGAAATCATTTGCTCATCCAATTTATGCTTTGAAGCTTTCAGACGTACTCTGGGCCCTCAATTTGGACCCATTTGGGATAAGATTGGTTCGAATTTCGTGTCATTGGGTTTATCTTTTTGATATATTCAATTTGAAAATCATAGACCAGATGGTCCTAGAATTAATTTCAAAAGTGTTCTCTTCAACTTTGCATATAGATTCGTGCCAGGTCAACATAATTTTTTAATGATATATTAGTGACCCCTATTTTTGGACATCAAAGCTTGTAGAGTCAGGAAATAAAAATTTATGATTTTCATGTAATTAAGAGGCGCGACCACTCCCTGAATATCAATGTGGGCCTCCCATTGGGGCTCTGAACCCCATAAAATACCCTTAATCATAAATTGAGAATCTCCTGAAGTTGACATATTGATTGGAGTAAAAATATTGAAAAAAATGCATTCTAAAACTATAAAAATACTCAAAATCGATTGTATATGCCCCGTTGGCCCAAACAAGTTCAAATTGGACCGTTGGGGCCAAAAATCGAGTCCCGACGCGATTTGTTGCTTGCCTCTCGCGACCTACGCACCTGTGTACCTGCATGCTGCTCGGACCTCCCCTCGCACCAATGCACCGGCTTGCATGTCACTTGACCGTTGATTATTGACACGCTAAGAGGCACACCACAACTAAACGTCGCAAGCTAAACCACACGAGCAGGCACAGGAGCCGCTGGCAAGCGCACGGGCACACACGAGCACTCCAGGGCAAACTAGATAACCCCGAAGCAGTGGCATGCCAGCTGTTCGCACTTCAAGTGGTGTCGAGGCCCAATTTTTGTCTTGGAGAATCCAATCCAAACATTTTTAGGATTTTGAAAAGAGTTTTCTGACATTCAGAACTCAATTTTGATGCTTTCGGAGCTAAATGGAGCTTTACAATCGATTTATGGCAAATTCAATAGTTTTGGAGCACAATTTTTTGTCAATTTTTGTCCCAATCAACGAGCTGACCTTATAACATTCTAAAATTATAATTGATGGTATTTTACTTGGTTCACAACCCCAAGAGTAGGTCCACATTTACGTCCAGGGAGCTATTGCATCTTGAAATTACTCAGAAAAACTAATCCTTGCACTGAAACGATTCGAAGAGTTTCGACATATATTTTCGGACTCTACGAACTTCGATGTCTGAAAATAGGATGACAACTTATATATCATCAAAAAAATTTCTTGATCAAGCATGAATATTGAGGCAATTTTAAATTGTAATCTTTCAAAATTAAATCTGGAACCATCAAAAATTTGATTTTAGCAAACTTATAGTTGAATTGAATGTCTTGAAAAGACAAAACCAATGACACTAAATTCGACCCATTCTGAGCCCAAATGGGTTCAAATCAAAGACTAGAAGCACATCTGGAAGGTTCAAACCAAAAAAATTGATGATCAAATGATTTATAAATGTTGCATACTTATAATATAATTGAGTGGCTCAACGAGTAGAATCCAATGAGCCTAAGATGACTGAATTTTGATATCATTAAACCACTCAAATACTTGATAAATGGTCCATAATCAAGGGAATTGATATCGGTCATCCATTCAAACCACTCCCAAAGTGCCCTTGATCTTCTCCCTATTTATTGTTCATGACACTAAAAAAAAAAACAATAAATATACCTTTCATTTTTCACTAACGGGGGACAAAAGAAGGAAGGGAGGAGAAGATGAAGAAGGAAGAGACATTTGAGACATATCTTGCCACCAAGCTCTTCCTCGACCATCGCCCGGCCCTTGATCGTTGTTAGACTTTCACCAAACTTTCGTCTGGCCATCAACTATCGTCGAACTTACGCCCAGCCTCCGATTGTCGTTGTACTTTGACCCAATCACCAACTGACTTCGAACTCAAGCTCGATCATCGACCGTCACCAGAAAACAGTCTTTTTGATCTTTGTCCTTCCTGTTATTGTCACCCGACTATAATTTTACTATGATCTTTCTGACCTTTGTCGCTAGCAGACTACAAACCTTTCCACTACTATCACCTAACTATCGTCCTTCCGACCTTCGTCGCTTGCCGATTACTATCGTTCCGACCTCCACGCTTGCCAACTATGGCTTTCTGACCATCATCTCCAAATTATGGTCTCCCTAACTATTGTCACTGGATTATAGTCCTTTTGACCACCGTTACCAGATAAAGGTCTTTCTGACCTTTGTCAGGCACTGACTATGGTCCTTCCAATCACTGTCACTAACTACTTTCCAACCTCCATCGTCCGCCAACTATGATCCTTCCGACCTCCACCACCCACTGCCTACGTTCCTCCAGACCACTGTCATTTGACTATGATCTTTCCAACATCTGTCTCCTGCCAACTATGATCTCTCTGACCTCCGTAACCCGACTACGTTCTTTCCGACCTCAATCGTACGTAGATTATGATTCCTTTGACCAACATCATCCGCCGACTATGGTCTTGCCGACCAAATGAACATGTCAACACTGATTCTTTATCAACTCCCACCATATAATGCACTTTATATGATGTATATTTGTTACATCAAGTCATTGCCTTCTCCCCTAGGAATGGCCTTATTTGTAATCAATTGCAAACACTAATGGATTCATTTCAATTGGGCAAGGCCCCATGGTGCCGCCCCCACCCCCTAGAAGTTTCTACATAAAATTTTTCGCATTTTTTATTAATTCTACACCTCTATCTTTCATCTGCTTATGTGTTGGATCTTCGTGCAAATCTAAGACGTTAAACTTTATATCTCTCCACCACCGTGAATGTTCCAATCCGCAACAAGATTGTACATAAAAAATGAAGTGAGCACCATTGCTTAAACCTAAACTGATTTTCCAATAGGTTTATTGACAGTGAAAATGTGGTTAAGAAAAAGCTCTTGGAATGGAGAGATTATTGGGTTCAGACACTGGACACAGCTTACCGTTCGGTACTTCACAGTACCGAGTAATACTGAAGTTGTTCAATGAAAAGTACTGAGTTCGGTACTTCACAGTATCGAGTAGTACTGAGCTCGGTATTGAGCTCGGTACTGTTTAGTACTACTCAGTACCGAGTAGGAGGTGATGTAGCGCATTTTCATTGGGCTCCAGATGTCATCCGGTGTTTGAACCTAATAATTCCCCCTTGGAATGAGGTTTAACATTGCAGAAATTTTGCTATGTAGAACACGGCTAGAGAGTTCTCAGATTGCAATTTACTGGATTTTGTCTTTAAATGGTTTGGCTGCGCCTTTGAGGAATACATATTTGATTGCTTCCAAAGGGATTTGTCAAGAGGTAAAGGCTTTACAGATTTGATCGTCTTACAATTTTAAAGTTAGTGTGTAATATTCAGAGGTTTTAGTAATGCTCACGGTAGATTGTGTGTGCTTTGAGGCTTAATATATGCATTTGATCATTTATTCATTTCTACTAACTCATACATTTATCTTGCATAAAATCATAACAAATAATTATAATAATAATAACTTAAGAGTCGTGATATATCAATCAAATAGTCAAACTAATAATTGTAATCTAATTATAAAATAAACCTAATTGGGCCATGTTATTTCACTAAGAATATGAATGTCAAGCTTCACTATAAAAGCTATAAGCATCCAACAAAGTTTACAATTAAAAAAAATTAAGAAATATAATTGAAATTTAATAAGTCTCCTATATTTTGCTGAGAAGTGACTCTCCTCTCTAGTCTTATGGTTCATTTGGAACAACTTTTTTGTTACATTCTAAAATAATTTTCTAATAAAAATATTTCTAGTTCAGAGGATTTTTTATATTAAAAGATTATTTTAAAAAATAGTAAAAAAATTGCTCCAAACAAAACCCAAGTGTTTTTAAGTTCTAATTATAGAATCACATAAATATCTTCATTATTTGTCATAATTGATTTTCTCTCCCACATTATAAGCATCACTCACAATTCATCAAATTCAACATTATAAAATATATTCTTTATAAATATAGGTTAAAATATATTTACCTATTTTTTTCCAATTACGAAGATTAATATTACTATTAATAAATCATGCTTTCACAACGTTTTTTCTAACATACAACAGCAGTTTATACACGTGCGAAATTATTTATAGCGGTTTAGAAACCGCTACACATCCGCTATATTTGTGTTC